ATCCTTCCCTTCCTCTCGTCTATAGCCTAAAAACCTGAAGATGTCACTTCTTCCCTGCAGAATTTCATTATTACTAGCCTATAATACTTTGCCAACAAAGGAAGCATGATGGAAAATCTGACAGCGACACGTCTGTTCCTATAGTTCAGCTTAAACAAGGAATTTACTGAAGTTTATTTTGTCTTGGCATATGTTTCTGTTTTTCTGTATTCCAAAGAGTTTGTGGTAGTAGGGAACAATCCATGGATGGATAAGTTGCCATGGCAACCTTACCTCCTGATCTGTCAGACCGACTGGAGCTGACAGAAAGTGAGAGCAAGCAAGAGTCACACTGGAGGTGAAAGAAGGAATGGAGGAGGTGGGGTGCCTTCGGTCAGCTGAAGTGCTGCCAGAGGTTTTGACAGCACAGTGCAGTAATGAACAGGAGGGATAGAGTCATTGCACGGGGGTCTCCAGAGGGATAACCTCTCAATGGTTGGGCCATCTGAAACCATTATTCAGTGACAAGACTGACAACACACAGACAAATATCCACAGATGCATTTTCAGAACAAATTCCAGTATATCAGAAATAGTAAGATTAAAGAAACACACACACACACACTTATGTATGTGTCACACAAACACATTCTTGTCTATTAGTTTCAAACTATTGGTTTGATAATGATGAACATATGTAATTTCTGAAGTTCTCAGCTGCTGCCGTTGATCCAGAAACTATGTGCTGTAGTCAAATTGTACTTTGGATTCAGATTGTTGAATGTGGAATTCTCAATATTTTTTAAAGTTTATACTGTTTTTATTTTCTTTTTTTGAAGATTTTGAATTTCATATGGTCTTTTGTCAAAGAAAACAGAGAAAACCCCAACAATCTTATGACCCCATATGAGTAATTGCTTTGGCGCTTTGGTGACAGTGGGAAGAAAAAACTCCCTTTAAGCAGGAAGAAACCTCCAGCAGCACCAGGTTCAGGGAGACGCGGCCATCTGCCACCACGGGTTTGGGTGAGGGATGAAAAGCAGGACAAAGACACTGTGTGAAAGAAAGACAGGGATTGATAATAACTAGCAACTGAATGTGGAGAGGTTTATAAACACATAATTATGCTGCAATAGGCCTAGGCTGCTGGGGGATCCCCATGATGCATTGAGTGTTTCTTCTTCAGTCACTTTTTTCACTCAGGAAGGGAGGATTCAGGGTCACCTGGTCCAGCCCCAACCATATGCTTTAGCAAAAAGGTAACTTTTAAGCCTAATCTTAAAAGTAGAGATAGTGTCTGTCTCCCGAATCCAAACTGGAAGCTGGTTCCACAGAAGAGGTGCCTAAAAACTGAAGGCTCTGCCTCCCATTCTACTTTTAAATACTCTAGGAACAACAAGTAAGCCCGCAGTGCGAGAGTGAAGTGCTCTAATTTTCGATTAACTGAAGGCTTTTCGAGGAGTTTTTAGGACATCCTGATAATAATGAATTACAGTAGTCCAGCCTAGAAGTAATAAATGCATGAACTAGTTTTTCAGCATCATTCTAAAACAGGATGTTTCTAATTTTAGAGATGTTGCACAAATGAAAGAAAGCAGTCCTACATATTTGTTTAATATGTGCACTGAAGGACATATCCAGGTCAAAAATTACTCCAAGGTTCCTCACAGTGTTACTGGAGGCCAAGGTAATGCCTTGAGGCTGTCAAGGTCTTTATGTCTTTAAGACATTCCTGCAGTTTAACTAATTGGTGTGTGTTATCATGTGTTTTGATGGATAGATAAATTTGGGTGTCATCTGCATAGCAGTGAAAATTTATGCTATGCCTTCTCATGATACTGCCTGTAAACATAATTGGTAACCTTAGTGTGTGAAGAGTACTTTAGGGATTGGTTGGCTCAACAGAGCTCTGACTTTTTGTCAGCCTGGCTACAGTACTGAAGAGAAACCTAGGGTTGTTCATATTTTTTTCTATCAGTCATGAATAGTAAGATGTTCTAGATGTTTTTGTAAAGCAGCAAACTATTTTTTCAGGCTAAATAATGAACTTCTAAATTAGTGAGATGCCATTTCCTCTCCAGCTTACAGATCATCTGCTTTAAGGTGCACATTTAAGAGTTCTGCATGCAGCTAAACATGTCACTCCTGATCTAGTTGGGGAGGGGAACAGAGAAAAATGCAGAGTCCCACATTGTTTTGGCAAAGTTGCACACTGATTAAATATTAATTTTAGTGCTCTCCAACTGGCATAACCAAGTGTCATTACTCCTGACGTGAAATATAATTTTTTATGGAATTTATGTTTACCCTTAGCCAGCAGTTATAAATTTCCCTCAATGTCACCTGTTCTGTCCCCTGGAAGACAGTTGACTATGGTTGCTGGTGTCTCTAACTTTACACGTCTCAAAACAGAATTGACAATTACCAGAGTTTGTTCCTCAGTGGGTGTGTTGCCGAGCGTGGAAAACAGTTAGAAACATAAATGGGTTAGTGGTGGACCGGGCTTTCTGTTTAGAGCTACGCTTCCTCATCGATCGTGGTTCAAGAGTAGGCAGTTTGTCTTATAATCAGAAGATTGCCAGTTCGAGCCCCGGCTCCAACAGTCTCGGCCGTTGTGTCCTTGGGCAAGACACTTCACCCATTGCCCACTGGTGGTGGTCAGAGGGCCCGGTGGCGCCAGTGTCCGACAGCCTCTGTCAGTGCGCCCCAGGGCAGCTGTGGCTACAATGTACCTTGCCATCACCAGTGTGTGAATGGGTGGATGACTGAATGTAGTGTAAAGCGCTTTGGGGACCTTAGGGACTAAGTAAAGTGCCATTTACCATTCATCACCATCACGTGAGCAGCACCCAGAACATAAAGATTACACTATGAAAAAAGATGTTATGTGTAAGTTTTTAATTAAATTGGCTAAACAGATGATGTCTGTAATTCCCAAACAGTTAATGTACTATTTTTTGCTAATCACCTTGAATTAAAGTTTTAATTGAAGTCTGCACTTCAATCACATTTTTTTTATTTAAAGTCCATTTAAAATGTGTACTAGAGCTAAATCTATTTAAAAAACTGTCAAATTATGAACCTAATTATGAACCTAATAATAATGGGGGGAAAAGGAAATGTAAAAAATTAGAAAAGTAATTTAGCTCGTAAACAAAGTCTAAAAATACCTCAGCCTCTGTTTGTTCTGTCAACATTAATCACAAAACATCATGCCACTGGTCTAATTTTGTTACTATGTCATATGCATTGTACTGAGCTGCACAATGATCTGTATTTTAATTTCCCAGACATATAGGCACAAATTGTACACAGCTGACTATCCCCATTCTATCTGTAATGCATCTATACATCTCATTTTAAGAAAAGCACTTTCTAAGCTGCATAGACATGAATAATTTTGTTTTCAATGTTGAGTACAAACTGAAACCAGGGTAAGACTGCTGTATAATTTCACACTTCTTTTTGCCTTTACTTGATAGCATAGAGAAGAGAGGACAGGAAAGCGGGGAGAGAAAGTGAGGGAAGACAAACAGCAAAAGACCTCAGGTCAGAGTTAAATCCAGGCCGCTGCATTGAGCCTTACAGCATATGGTCGCCTCCTCACCCTGTGAGCTAAACTGGCAGCCAAAAGTTCATATTTCTGAATTAATTCTTGTTTCTTTACTGAAAGTAGGCTATATTTGAAAGTAAATGTTGTCCAATGTAGTTCTGCTGCCAAGTGAGAGATATTTTTATCTCTCACTTGGCAGTGAGAGATAAAGTCATTTTTATGACTTTGTTCCAATATAATTTCTCCAATGCAAATACCAGCCCACTATTGTTGCCATTAAGATGACTAATGTGACTTGTTTGCAATTCTGCAGCTGGGAAGTATCCAGCTACAATCATAAATGGATGCAGTTGTCACTAATTGTAACAGCAGTCACTGCTTCATTTAATTCACCCATACATGTAGGATGAGTGAGTGTTTACAGGATAAGTCTAAGAACAAGAAAATATTCGTTATTTCACAAATGACTACAAAAGCAGACGTCATTATAGGGCAAAAAATTCAAAAAGCAGTAACAAAATTGCCATGCTCGTGGATTTGGTTCTAAGAATTGGCACAAGAAGCTGATCTGAGACTTGAATCGGGATCTGTGTTAATGATGGACTGTAAATAATTAATCCTTCCCATTTATGAACTTAATTATTATTTATCTACAAAGATCTAAGGCATATCACGTTTTACAGCATACTTTGTTGAAGAGACAGACAGACATTAACATACAGCAGTTAGGTATTTATCAGTCAATCATCCTAGCAAAAAAAAAAGACATTCCTGTAGTTTAACTAATTGGTGTGTGTCTGGCTTCATAGATAGATAGAGCTGGGTGTCATCTGCATAGCAGTGAAAATGT